TTATACCCGGTTTCGTTTTTCATTCCTATTGTAGTATCTTATTTTCGGTAACATCGCTCTCGTACGAACGAAACGGTTTTATGCCGACTTAAAGCCCGGAAAAGCGGGCTGAGCGATTGCACTGCAATTATGTGAAGTAGCGCCGCCCGTCGTGATGAAACGTCGAAGAAAAAAATAATGATAGAAAAAGGAGAGTCAGAACGCGGAAGTTACGGCGTACTTCGACATTGTCTCAATTAATGGACCGTGTTCAAAAGCATGAAAAATTGTAAAAAGTGGAAAGAGAAAGAGAAAGAAAGAGAAAGAGGAAGGAAAAGAAAAAGAAGAAAACGAGAGAGAGAAAGCGTATGTGTATGTCATGTTGCGTCGATAATTTATAATTTTAAATAATTAGTCGATTTACCATGCATAAAAAATATATTAAAATGATTTTTCTTGTTTTAAGCTTTTTAATAATTTTTGTAGAGTAATACATATATGTAATAAAAGGAAGTTTACTTAATAAAATCGCATGAATAACTCGCGTATGCTCATGTCTACGGTGTATACCATGGATATTACCATAGATATAATCCACCATAAACACACATTAATATATAAAAAAGTATAATTATGTAATATTTAGTGTCTTATGTTACAAAAATAGTTACATTTGTTATTGCGATATGTATACATATAAGCATGTACAAAGTCTGAGTATGGAATTCGATGATATTTTTAGGCTGAAATAAGATTGTAGAAAACACAGGATTAATTTTTCAACGTTATTATTTATTTATAGAATTTAAATTAGGATTGACAAAAGAATTTTTTTTTAACATAATATTGTGTTTTTTCTTTTTTTTTTAAATATATTTATTTTAAAAGGAACATATATTTATTAACTTTTTCTTTTTAAATATATTTTTAATTTTTTAAATATGTTTACATATGTTTTAAATAGTATTAAAAGAAACATTATTTAAAGCATGTTTACAACATCGATTAAACATGTTTTTAAGTTTTATATATGTTTTTTACCAATTCTGATTTAAGTTCTAAGAAAATATGCTTATTTATAAGCATCCCTACATTTATAATAATTCCTTGCAGGTTTTTATAAGAATCTTTATTCAGCATATTTTGATTTTAATTAATTTCTTAAATTTAATATGTTTTTTTTCGATCAAAGAATATTCTGAATTCTTTATTTTAACTATCCTTGAGGCAGTTCCAGCGAAAAAGAATAGCATTTAGAATATATCATCTTTTTTACAACAATCCCAAAAATCTACCCGGACGATCTTATACATAATCTAAAATTTCAGAAAGACAGAAATTTTGAGAGAGATCAGGTGCACAATCGCACTGTTCTTTAATTATTGAAATTGCATGAAAAAGAAATACTTGCTTTGTTGTGCCGCGCGTCAATATCGGAGAAAGTGGAGTGACGGGAGAGGAAACGTCTAAATAATTGGCATCTGCTTCGCAAAATGCCTGTTTGTCGGCTGAGTGCCGTTTAATTTGCATTAACAAGCTGTTTGGCATATTCACTTTGCATTCCCGTAAATCGAGTTACTCCTGAATATAGTTGCTAGGAATACATTGGTCACGGGCATGTTGTATAAACGAAAGTTGTCTATTGATTAGTGGGATGCACTTTCCGCTAACTTTTCGTCTCGTTGTCGCTTCAAAAATGCAAACCATATGTGATCGTATTAATTATCATACAATTACAGACTTATCCCTGAAAAATTTTTAGTCGCTTTACGACTATGCAGATATTACATCAGACATTACGTCAATAATCAAGAAGAATGTAAAAAATTTTCTCACGCGATATAAACTTGTCTGCGCCATATTCGCGTTTTCAGCTGAAACGTAACATTTCTAACCAAAAGGAGGAAATCTAAATGGCAACCGGCGCGCTTTATGTCGCGCGTCGCAAAACGGCCTATCGGCTCTCTCGTCGTTGAGAAACTTCCTCGCGAGGAAGAAAACATGTGTGTCGGCATAAAGAAAAGTACGAAATATCGAACGTGTCGGTAGACGAGAGCAAAGCTCTTTGGAGACACTCGTTTTCATTTCGAACGAGAAAGGACCGAGCGGCAAAAAGGGGACGCCACGAAAGTATATTTCATTATATACACGACTGCAGATATCGCCTCGGTTTACTACCCCCTCTCCCCCTCCCCCACCTCCTCACACCCCCGTCCTTCGCTCTCCAGGTCGATGGATAACCATCGTGCGAAGCAGGAAATATTTTATCCCGCGTATAAAGGACCTCCGTTCCATCGATAAAAGAATCGAATACGAATCGCGACTGATGTCAGTCACCTCTCGAACGACACGAGGAATCCACGGACCAATCATTCGTGGATTTTTCAGTCAGCATAGGTTTTATGCCGTGACTCGCATTCGTATAAGAGGATTAAAAGAGATCGCGATGCGCGTATCAAGAGGCACACAGACACGCCGAGCGACTTCCGCGCGGTCGAAAGCGACGAAGAGAAGCAGGACTTTCACATGCGATAAGATTCCGCATAACATCAGGATTTAGAGTTGGTTCTATCATTCTTATTCTTCCCCAATACGTCTCTCTGTTGCTGCAAATGGCATATTTTAGACGGCAAATTATAAAATGAATAAATGCTTTCTGACGCGACCTCCATCGTGTTGCCCGTCCGCGACCGCCTACGCCCTCGAGCATTGACATAAGTCGTTGTTTGTCTATTGTCATAGGCGTCACGATGAATATCCTGTCCGGTAAGAAAATCGCGACGTTCGTCACGAATTTATTCCGATATATTATTCCTTCCTTTTCGACGAAAATTACACGTTCATCCTTTAGTAATTCTCGGAAATCGAGACATTACAGTTCCTTACGATCAAGGCTCTTTGTAACACCTGAGGCACTTGGAATGCATTTGGACCGTTTGGCATAAATTTCGTAAGAAATTCGACGCCTATGGGGTGAAACGATCGTCGTAAGAGACGACGTCCGCTCGCTCGTCTTCCCGACGAGCAGACTCATACACGGCAGCCGTACACTCTGCAAGCGGAAGCCATGAATCTTTATTAAATCCACGAAATTTATGTCGAAGCGGTCGCGTGGATTGTGAAACGTGCGCCGCGCGATGGTCCCCGTAAGAGTATTTATTTTGCCTCTCTCATTCCCTCGTCCAACCCCTCGTGCAACATGCGCAATCTCCGTTTACTCTGTTCGAGTCGTTTGCATTGTGTAATAAAATATGCCATTCCACGTATGTATGTACATGTATACACATATTTATGCATAATGCGGCTCTTTCCTTTTTTTTCTCTTTTTTTTTTTTTTTCATTTTCAGTGACGCGCGTCCGCCTTCACCGAGCGAATAATCACTGTCCGCGAGGCAGATGGACGTGATATTTAATTTGACACGGTAAATAGTTGCTACCGCGAGAGCGAATACTTTCCATTCCTACGCACGCATAATTTCTGATTTTAAACGACATCAACACGAATCCATTCGGTTCCGTTGTTTTACCGGTCCATCCTTTTTTTTTTTTTTTCGATTACTTTCGCCGCACGCGATCGAAAAATAAGTCGATTTTTATATTATACGAGTATAAGCGAGGGTGTTCCCCTTGCTCGACGAGCTCTGTATTTTGTACCAGCCTCTTTAAGAGGCGATATTATCATAGTGATTTATTTCGATCTTCTCGCCTCTCTACGTACCGGCGTTATTGCTACCATAAATTCAAGCGCGTTCACGATGTTTGATATATCCGACCTGACCTACGCTTGTCTTTCAGTTGTCTACTCTCCCAAGCACTTTAGAAATTTCGGCATTTCCGAGAGAATATTGAAATTTCCCTTATCGTCGTCTCGTTTAGTCTTTTTCATTCTTTTCTACATTGTATGTGTCGTAATAATTCAGATAAAAATGTACTGCACTAGTTTTGTTAGTTGCATTTTATCTGTGATATCTCAAACTTTTTTACTTATCTGATCTGAGATATTTTATCCTGTTCCATATATTGATCGTTCCTACACAATGACAATACGCATTCTAACAGTTACATATAGTGGATGCGATAGATCGAGTTTCGTAGTAAACATTGATATCGTTGGCGAAGAATCAAAATTCAAATTTTTAAGAGAGAGATGTATTTTGTAAGATCGAGACTTGTCTTTAAAAAATGTAAAATAATAAATTTCGAGTGCAAACTTCTTTCAAGCCAAGTTTGTTATTGTAAACTTTTTCGATTTTGTAAACTTTATAAATTATCTATACTAAATTTGTAGCGACTTACATACCTATAAGTTTATGATTTTGACAAGCAATTTAATACTTGCGTACTCAACAATCAAAGGCGTAACACAGATAGGCAGAATCCAGTAGATAAAAATGTGAATAACAGCATCAGATTTATATTTTGTCTGTAACTTAGTTTAGGCCGTAATTAAAATTAATAATAATAACACAATGCTATAAGACAAATGTTATCTCTCTGCGGTCGAGGTTGATAACGAGTATTCACTAATTAGCAGTTAAAACACCGCAAGCGAGCACGGGCGATGTAAATTCTTGTGAATACATATGTCAAGCGCTTATTAGTCAGCTCGAGCTTCGCGCAAGGAACTTCATGTTATTACGCAAGATGCATAAATTTCCTACAAAAGCCAATAAACTTGATCACATTTAAATGACGAATGGAATCGGGTAGCTCGTACGTCTTGATGGCGAAGCAACAGCTTAGTAGGGATGGTTTATAGCGGATCGGAGAAGAGTAGGAAGAAGAGTGTGTATACAGTATAAGTCGGAGGTAACGATAGGCGGGGAAGAGAAAGAAGAGAGGGGGTGGGGGGGGGAGAGAGAGGGAGAGAGATGGGGTAGGAGAAAAGGTATGTCTGTGATAAAAGCAGGTGGTAGGTTGATAGCAGAGAGATAGAATGAGAGAGAGAAGGGGAGAGGGGAAATAGAGGGAGAGAAAGAGAGAGAGAGAGAGAGAGAGAGGGGGGGGGTTATCTACACTACGTTTAAACTCAACGGGGAAAACTGTGAGAGCAGAAGCGCGAGCGCGAGCTTGGAGCGTGGGTGCGGACTTCAGAGTTCAGTCGCGTGCGATGCGCGCTCTTAGCCGCTACGTGTTCCTTAGTCCTCCGATTTTTTAACGATTGAGAATGACCGCGAACGTGAAAGACGCGCGCGTAAAATTAGACATATATTAACGGATTTATTAAAATTTTTATCATAATCATTTTTTTCATGAAGGCGTAACGAAATATCCTCTCCACTGCAATACATTTTTTTTACAATACGAAAGTAGGTCTACTCGGAGTACCAATCAGAATCAGTGAGAAATAAATCGAGAAATAAATCGTGGATCGTGATATTGCAAACGATAAAATGACGACGTAAACGATAGAATCGCGGTCGTGGAAATCGTATCGGGAAAGGTGCGCTATTTTCGATTGGCTTTCGATTACACGGAATCGAAATTGACGAGTTCAACGGGACGGAGTACGAGCTTCGTGTTTGATACAGTTTGATGGAACGATGTATATTTTACTATCGGCAAGTTTTTGCCGGTTGAGGGAATTGTAATTAAAACTTTACAAATAGAAATTACTAACAATAAAAGAAAGAGAGAGAGAGAGAGAGAGAGAGAGAGAGAGAAGGTGAGAGAGAAAAAAAGAGTACAAGATGGAAAATGCAAACAACAGTGCTTCGAAGACAATAATACTCGTCATTGAACAAACAAACTTTCCATCAGCTGTGAAAAGTTAGAAACAGCGCGATGAATTAATCGCTGCTTATTTCTGTTAATTGATAAAGTAAAATTTATCATTGAAGATTTCTTATCAATGGGCTGACATCTTTTTCGAAAAGGAAGTTGTGATCTCTGACCAATTGAGTGGAAATGGTCTCTGTCTAATGAGAACATTGAAGTATTAGTAAAATATTTCGTTACTAAATGTTTAGAGACCATATTTTTACGATCGATTGTTATCGAAAGATTTAAGATAAAGAAGTGGAAGCTAAGTGGAATTTATAGATTCTTGCCACGCTTCGTGGAAATTGTCGATAATTATGAGGGACAAGTTCACATTTAGCGTGAGTATCGTTTGATACGATGTTGCAATCGATTTTGTGTTTTTTAATATATCTGTCGCGATTTACAAGGAGAGTCGAAAAAATAAAGAAAAAAAAACAACGTCTGGCTAATATTTGGTTTGTAACCATCGGCATATGGAATGAAACGCTTGTAGACAGCTATCACTCGAGACCGTAGGTCACAGAGATTGTAGCATATTCTCTCTTCTATTTATTGTTAGAGACAATCATGTCGTTTTGCGCACGCCACATGCGAGTTCGTTGAATTTATCGTTACTACTACTTTGTCATTTATTTTACACATCATATTTTATAACGCTGGTGAGGAGAACGCTGGTGTATATTGGAAACGGAGTGCAATATGCAATATGTATTATTTATATCCAAAGTGATAGAGATAAATCTTCGCTGATGTAATTTACAGTCGGGGGTGCCGGACATGCACGAGACTCTGTCTAGCTTCCCGGAACAGTTTGGGGATGGCCCGAGAAAACCGGAAATAAAGCCGGAAATTCCGAAGGAGACGGATAGAACCGCGGACAATCTGAAATGCGGTTGGTTCTGGTTCAGGCCAATTTATTTGCAGAAATTTCGCACTGCGAAATGGGCGCTTTTCTGGCTGTGTTGGGCTGGAGCGATGCAAGGTACGTAGTTTTGATAACTTTTCGTATGGTAATTCACTCGGCGCGACGCGGGGCTTCGCTGCAAAAAATCGTCAATAAACTTATTAATGCCGTCGAAATTTTCAATAACAACGTTATGAAGACGCTAGTCAGTTAATATATTAGATTAATGCAAAAAATTTGTAATTTTTCCGTTCAATTTATTTAATTAAAAAATTCAAAGTTTTTTTTTAAAAGTAATTGAGAAGGCTTTTAAATAAATAAAAAATATTTTTATTAAAAAATTTTTTATTAAAAGTAATATAGATTGTTTAAAAAATAATTTAAAAAGTTTCTGAATAAATAAAAATATTTTTTATTGGAAAATAGTGCGTTGAAACCAATGTTGCTAGTGGCAATTTCGCTATATTTTTTTACTGAAATTCTTTTCAAACTTCATTTGACAGATATGAGACAGCTTTTGCACTAATCTAATATTTCTCAGTTCCTCCTTTCGAGTTTGTCAGTTAGCGTTAGTGCGTGAAGCGTTAACTTTCTCTCCGAGATTAGACGCGAGTGTCAGGGACGCGAATATTTTCATACTCATTTTCTCATCGCTTCGCAAACTCTTATTATAAAAAAAAAAGAGCGAACGAGCCGCATCTTTGTAAGAAACATAATTCCTTGATAACATATGATACGATGAGATGTTGACGCGCAGCAACGCTACTAGTCATACGTTATCCGCAATTTTGATGCTTCTACGTGAAAATAAGCTCGAAGGGAGTGATGATTGACGATAACGAGAGAAAATTATCCGATTAATGTATAGTTCGCGTTAACAAGAATAGCTTAATATATCGGAAGGAATGATGCATTGATAACAGAAAGGGAAAATTTAAAAAAAATTTATCAATCGTTGAAAAATACGTAAACTTGCCAATCAAGAAATTATTTTTGATAAAATTCGTCATATTTTTGGTAAAATATTAAAATATATTACAATAACATACGTATTTCCTCTCGCCAGAGGTGATTCTTTGGGATTAAAATACATCTATTAGATGCATCCTAAGGGAGCCATTTATTCTGTGTTCCTTTAATAGAGATTAAAAAGATCAACGTTTATGTACATTGTAATATCATTAAATTCTCAACAGTGTGCAAATATATGTATACACACAACAACATATTTCATTATGTTTATTAAAAAGTCGTTTGTGATAATTCGTAATTAAAATTTTTCAATGGTCGCAAAATGGTCCTTTAATTTTAAAACAAACTATCGGTTTCGAGCAGCAATCGTAAAGTTTGCTCGTATAGATAGTGAATGGAGGCTATCACGGTACTGGTTACGCATCATACATATACATAATATACAAGTATCTTCATTGTTTCAGGCATGGTCGTGAATGGTTTTGTAAATGTCGTCATAACGACGATAGAGAGGAGATTTGGATTAAAATCGTCGGAGACTGGCTTGATAGCGGGTGGATACGATATAGCTAGTTTTCTTCTTCTCATACCAGTAAGCTATCTTGGTGGCCGTGCGAAAGCGTCGAAACCAAGGTACGCACATGTATACCGCGTCGCGCCATTACCTTACACATTAATATTAATACCAATATCGGTTTTATACGACGACTTTCATAAATATTAATCTTAACGCCTGTTCGTCCGACACTGTCGATGTTAATCCCCGTCGCGTTTCTTTGCTACGGCATCGTCTCGGAACCCTCGTCCTTGTAATCGATAATCGATAACCTTTCTGAAGATCTTAAATCTCAGATAGGAATATATTGAGTTCGACGGTTCGTTCCTAAAAAATTATTTTACCTAATTAAAAAAAAAAAAAAAAAGAAAAATGATAAGCTAGCACTTGCCAAACAATACGCACTGAGCGATGGTTCTCCTTACTCAGATCCAATGCATTCTTGAAAGTATTATATAAAAGTGTAGAATTAATTTTGCAGTGATTAATTTATTCTATTTCAATCAGATGTTCTGAAATGTCGTAGGTATATCGGCATAGGGATTCTAGTCTTAGGTATAGGTAGCCTGCTGTTTGCATCTCCGCATTATCTTGCCGGACCGTATAGAGGAGGTCAGCAAACAGACAACATATGCCAAAGTGTCACTAATATATCGAGCCATTCGGTAAGCTGGTAAATTAATTACTATAGAATGTAATTAAAATTCTTCATTTACATATCTGATTTATTTTATCACAACGTGACAAGTTTAATCGAAACGGTGGCTTGTCCCGTAACACCTTCTAATAACAACACGGTTATATATTGCAACGTACACACGTTAAATTCTCTCGTTAGACTCCTAAACGAAATTTACATCACAATCGATAATAAACACAATGCGTAATTCAATGCGTGCGTGACTAATCGAAACTTGTTTATAATACCGTGCTTTTCTCGATTTCCCACTTCTATTCACGTAGTTTGCCTAGTGAACCGGCGACGCCAGATTTATCATTATTTCGGCCACTCAGATATCCTGCACGGATCAATCTACCGTTCAAGCGGACCTAGAGCCTTACAGTGGCGTGTACTTAACCATATTTCTGGTAGCTCAGCTGTTACATGGCGCCGGTGCGGCACCCTTTTATACGCTCGGGGTTACATATTTAGACGAAAATGTTTCGAAGAAGATGTCTTCGGTATATCTAGGTAAGATCCGTATAAGCAGCACAAATGTATATATCAATTTTTTTTCTCAATCGATATTAATAAAACAAAATGTATCGTGTGTTAGGTGTTTATTATACTATGGCTATAATAGGACCTGCGCTAGGCTACGTTGTCGGTGGTGAACTACTGAAAATTTACACAGACTTTCTCACAGTGGACTCCTCAACGTAAGTATTTAAATATTTAAACAGATCGCTTTTTCCAAACGCGCTGTTTCCTGTTATTTTTAAAAAATAAATCAGACATCTTTATTTCCGCGCGGGAAGACAATGAAACAGGAGTGATGGATATTTTATTTGTAATGCATAGTATGGTGTGCGTTCGAACGAAGACAGGGAAGAGAAACGTGTAGCGATGGTGGCATCGGAATTCGTCTCTTCCCGTTGTCAGGCCAAACGCATTTTCCACTTTTTTTCCTGATAACATGCGGGAACGTTTAGTCGCGCGTCAGCGGCAACTTTATTAAATTCTCGCGAGGATTTATCGGTCGTTCGCGTCTATCTCTCCGACGCGAATATACACGAGCACACGTATTGTGGATGTATACGGACACGAAAACGCGCGGTTTCGAACGGAATAACTCGCCGATCTGATGGTATGCAAATGTGCATATTCGTCATTTCGCCACTAGTATTCGGATGATGATGCGTATATTGGTCGTTTGTACGGAATTCGATATTAATAGTAAAATGATCTCCCCGTAATGCATAAAGCGTCGATTAAATAAAGCAAGGGTGAGCATGCAACCGAACGCTCTGATCCGATTAGCTAATTTTAGAGAATAATTATCAAAACGATGGTAGCGGTTTGGTGTATTGTCACATATTTGATATTTCCTCTTCCAAAAAAAAGGAAACATGTATTTAGCCAATAGGTATGAAAACACAAAAAAACACATTGCTCCTTTAATGCACCGTTGCCGTTAAAAATATTCCCCAGGATCATTAGAGCGTATAATGGGCCGAGATTAATAGTGCGTGTAACTCTACTGATATACAGTATATCCCATGGGGAAAATGTCAAGTGGCGAACCAGTGTTTGACGATGTGACACGCCGATATTACCCTTCAAAATTGTTGGCTCTTCCCCCCAGCACTTAGGACACAATCAAGTTCCATTTGTCTACTCGCCTCCCCGTGGACCCTCCCCCAACTACGCACCCTTTCATCGACCGTTGAGTCATTCTGTACCGCGTGAGAATCAAATTAATCGTTAGGCGAGAAAATTTTTTTTCACATATTTTTTTCGTACTCACATGCATATATATATATCTAAAAATCTTATATACATGAACTAGGAACGAGCAAATAAATCGCGATGCGTCTCTATAGTCGCACTGTTGCGGTTACAATTACATCCTTTCTCTTTTACGAGAAACGAGATTCTTCAAGAAACAAGACAAATGTAAGGTGAAATTATTCGTGTAATAGGTGCGGCTCTCCTATCGCTTCACGTGAGAGTCGTTCGTGCATGCACCGGGTTTAATTTCGCAGGTAAATGAAAAGTTTCGCCGGAGATGCGGCAGCGGCAGCAGCAGATGTAGCTGGCCTCGAGCCGGTTGAAACGAATGACTTCTCTACGTGCACTTTTCCGCTTTCTCACTTTCAAGTTCCTTGCTGTAATAAGTTACATTATAGCTTCCCTCGCGTGCCGTTTCTTTAGTAATAGTTTCCGACCGTTATACAAATTATTCCTTTTCTTGGATCAAGTATCGATTCTACCGTATCAAGCATTCCATTCACTATCGTATTTATCGCATTTATTACCTTTGAGAAAATTAGCATTGTTATCAATATATTTCCATAATTGCACTGAATCAAGTGAAATACTCAATAAATATTTGCAATTAATATTTAGCAGTAATCCTTTATCAAAATATTTAACAGTAATCCTTTATGTTATTAATATTTATGAGAATAATATATGATTTTTTTTTTCACTTTAATTATATAAAATGTGTCATTTTAGGAACTATAGTATACTCAATGAAGAAATTCTTTTATCTGTTAAAAAGATGGTCTTCTTTCATTATATTTTTTTATTAATCGACAATTATACATTTTTACAATTATATATTTTGCATACATTGAAAATTTTAACGAAATTACTTTTATTCAGTTAAATAATCGTCATTAATGTCGAAACCACGTAAAAGGAACGTTCGCTGCATCTCGTACTGGCGATTAATCAAAGAAGTTACGTGAAACTTCGTCAATCGAGAATTTCTAATTACCCGAAATTAGGATTGCCAAATTAGACAAAAAGTTAAATGAGAATATGTAAGTGCTTTGCAAACGCGCTCGGAATAATCCTTTAGCTCACATCTTTTTCCGACGGAGAAAAATCGGTCAGATGTTTTTTTTACAATTCATTCAACCGAGATAAAAATGAAAAAAAATTAATCGGTGTTCTAGTTTCGTCCAACTTACATCCATTAAAAAGGAAACTTGAAATAGACTCCTGAGATCTACGTGAAATAAATTCTAAATATATTTCCAAAGGCATATGTTTTATCGAAAATCTATTGCATCCTAAAACCATTAAATTTTAGGATTGGGTTAACTTCTGATAGTAATGTCTGGGTTGGTGCATGGTGGATCGGTTTTTTGGCAGCTGCTGTCATATGCTTCGTCATCGCGATACCAGTTTTGGCATTTCCGGCAGTTTTACCCGGTACGATCTTTTCTACGTTGTTAGATGGAATAATGATAAATAAATAAACTTCAAGATATATATATATATATATATATATATATTAGGTCATTTAAAAAATATACGCGGTTTTTTTGTTCAATTTTTGAATGAAAAAACCGCGGATACTTTTTAAATGACCCAATATATATATATACATATTAAATGAATATTTAGTAAACTGAATTCTAAAAAGATGAATGATTTGAATAGGATCGGAGGAATTAGCCAAGGATAGGGTGTCAGAAGCGCACGAGAAATCGACTCGATCTTCTACCGCGGCAACGGGGGAAGCATTTTCCAAGATACGAGAGCTGCCACGTGCTATGACCGAATTACTTGGAAATCCGGCATTTTTTATGTTGAACTTGGCAGGTGCCAGTGAAGGGTTGCTCATCGCTGGATTTGCTGCTTTTCTACCGAAACTGATTGAAAATCAATTCAGCGTCAGTGCCAGTTCGGCCGCGTTGCTGATGGGTGAATAATGTCACAATTCAATTAATCTATCATAATATAGCATGAATTTCGATAAGCACCGTTGTATAAAATCATTTTCACAAAGCTTCGGAAATGATTCGATATAAAGGAAGTAATGCGAACTGCAAAGAACTGCAAAAAAAATTTTAACAAATATTAATTGATGACATATTAATTAATATCGCTATGATTTATATTACAAAATAATGTTTTCTTATTTTTAGGATTGGTGACTGTACCAGCTGGAGGCGGCGGTACATTTCTCGGTGGTTACCTGATAAAACGCTTCAATTTGCCCTGCTCTGGCATATTAAAATTTTGTTTACTGGCTACAGCCGCCTGCATCGCTTTCACGCTGTGTTTCGCTTTAAATTGCCCGAACTTGGATTTCGCTGGATTGACTGTGCCCTATCAAAACATCACGAGGTTTGTACTATCGATGGATTTAAAATGGCAACGAAGTAATATATAAATTATTAGTGATTCGTTCGATTACGTTTACTTATTTTATTATTAAAAATGAGACTTTTGTTACAGAAGGATCGCGTTGTCACTTGAAAACACCTGCAACAATGGCTGCGGATGTTCTAGATTGCAATTTAACCCTATATGCGGCGTGGATGGAGTCACGTACTATTCACCCTGTCACGCCGGATGTTATCGAGAAACACCGATAAACAATGTCAAAGTATATTCCCCGGTGTATTTCTAAAATAGCGTTCCGTTTTTGGACAGCAAATAAATGTCACGCGCGACTGTCTTTCTAGATATACTCGGATTGCAGCTGCATACACGCACCAGCGATGAATTTGACGAGCGAAGATACTGGCGATGTCGTCCAGTACCAGGCTGTCAATACCACCTGCGGAAGTTCATGCTCGTACCTGTGGCTGTTCATCGTCCTGGCATTTTGCAATATGTTCATGACGTTCCTGTGTACAATGCCAGCGCTCTCGTCCACCCTGAGAGTCGTGCGCGACGATCAACGATCATTCGCTTTAGGCATACAGTGGATCAAAGTTCGGATTTTAGGAACTATACCGGCACCAATGGTATTCGGTGCTCTTATAGACGATACCTGCATCTTGTGGAACGAAACGTGCGACGACAGAGGAGCGTGCCTCGTATACGATAACTACTACATGAGCAGGTTGGCAATTTACACGGTGGTTCCTTGACATGATTCGCAAATTAGTTCTCACAAGTTTTAAATGAATTTGTTACAAACATGTTTTTCACAGGTATATGCTAGCGCTGGCATTCATCGGAAAAGCGGCTTCGCTTCTTTTCTTTTTTTTGGCATGGTGGACGTACGTTCCACCCAGCACGAGAGGCATCGATCAGAATTCTCGGCAGCAAACGACGGCTACTTTAATGCTAAGTGATACGTCTCAAGAAGTTGAAATAGTACCGGCTACGATAGCGTAATCTTGGATTATTTTATTTTTCTTATTTAGAAAGTTATTCTTTTAGAATGGTTATTTTATAGAAATACCCGCGGATTATATACGGTTAGACAAATGTCCCAACATTTCTCTTTTACGGTGAGATTCACTCTGAGAAACGGAACAATTCACGTTAAATGAGAATATCGACGCAAACACATAAACAGATATCAAGATAGGATAAATGCGTACATGTCAATATACAATGTGAACAAAAATTGTCATGAAACTCCTTTTTGCACGTTAGAAAGATAAGTTTTTGATAGCCCTACAACCGAATGTAGTTCGAAACGCTATAGATTCGGAAATCAATCAGGGGATGTAAAAAACATATCCAGATAATTATGCCAAAGAGCCTATAATATGCAAAGCATATTCTTCATTTTCTTTATAATGGACTTATAATAACATTATAAGTCTTAGGCCTGATTGCACTAACGTTACTTTGACTTTAAGCGAAGCTTAAAATATCTCTTTCTTTTTTGAAAGCTTAGAGAGACAGAAAAAATAAAGTTTAAGTCTCGTTTAAAATTAAAGTAAAGATAGTGCAATCGGACCTTAATTAAATCTATAAACACGGGCCAAATATCTTATTTGCGCAACTCGAATCCAATTTCCCCTAATATAAACTTTTATAATCCTACATTTGCTGACTGTCAATTAAAGATTAATTAACTGTATTCCCTATAATGATAAATATCGATAGTTCTTTATACCCAAAATGTGACTTACATAAATTTTGACAATGGTTTTGCCATGTATCAGCCTTGATGATTGTCGTATACTATATTATCGATTTGATATTACACTTTCTGCGCCGTTTTTCGCTATAATTATTTTTATTAAACGAAAAACGCCAGTATGCCTAGAGCACATATTTATACATGTCATCAATAAAAAGCTGAGATATATTACAAATCTTTGTCTCTTTCAATATGAGATTTTCCATTTTTTTTTCTGTAGAATATATTTTGATAAGCAAATCTTGTAAATTTGTTTAAAAATATCATTGATGTATTTATATTAAAACTGCATATTTTAGAAATTATTAATTTTTTTTTATTCACTCTATTAGAAATAAAATAAATAGATATTAACAATTGATAAACCAGGAAACGATTTTAACAAATGTCGCTCAAGACTTTTACGCAATTAATGATTGTTGATAAAGTCGTTAACTATATCTGGAGCTTTTTAAAAAATTTTTAATCGTAATATGTTATTTTAATGAAATAAAAAATGTATTGTCAAAATAAGAATGTATCTTTTATAAATTCATAAATGCACATTAAAAAAATAAAGAAAAACACTTCCTTGAAAAAATTAATTATTATATATAAAATTAATTATTATATCTAAGTGAATATTGTTGAAGTAGTAAAAGACGCTATATTTAAAATTGTATTTTCACGTATTTATTACTTCAACAATATTCATTGTGGCAAACAATAAGAATGTAATAATTCATTGTGTTATACTATTCTTGCTAGAAAACAGCTATTAATATATTTATGTATTTATGTATTTATTTATGTATTTATGGACTCTTTATACATATACATTGATAATATTTTATATAAGTTCACTATTTTTTAAATATTTGATATTTTAAATATTTTTACATATTTACTATTAAAATATATATTAAAAAATGTCTGTAAATCTAAATACATTTTGTGATAGATTCTATATTTTTTAGAAGCAAAAGCGAGATTTTTACATAACTTTTGATGTAAAAAAATTCGCAATGCTCCCGAGCAACATTTGTCCGTATTTAATATTTGATAAACAATAAAAATAAAATTTCTTCTTCAAGAGCGTTACGAGCAGCAAGTAGAACGCAGCCTAAGTGTGCCAGATATATTGTCAGGAAAAGGTAAAGAGAGGGAAGTAGAAGATGAGAGAAGAGAGAGAGAGAGAGAGAGAGAGAAAACAGCTTCAGACTCATCCTCGAGTTACTTTCACTTGAACTTCTCGTAACGCCGTGTAGTGATCTTCTAGAATCTAAACGGTGGAGCGGAGCTCCTGCTGCTTTCCGCGTAATTCGAACTCGCGCAATTTTTTAGTGATTTTAGATTATTTAAAAAAATGACGTTTTACTGGATTCTACAATCGCATCTTATACGATGCATGTTATTTGTTGTTGTTACTCACGCTGAAGAAGTTTTTGTAAGTAATAGGATTTTAAACGTGTTGTTGTGTTAACACTAATTATGTTACATCGGATTAGTTGCGCATATTGATGCCATAAAAAATGAGGAATTGCTTATACTTACATAAATTTACAAATAAGTTAAATTATCTCGCTTTTAAATACTTTAACGGTCTTTAAGATGTATGATTCAATCACGATTGTTCACCCACGCAGAATACCACTCCGCCAACCGTCAAAACCAGCTTCTCCTGTCACAACCGGCCTATGGGATTTTATGCTGATATCGAAGCGAATTGCAAAATATATCACACGTGCGATGATCACGGGAACAAATTCACTTACCGATGTCCCGAAGGAACGGCTTTTCGTCAAGATGCCTCGATATGCGATCACGTTTATCTCGTGGACTGTCAAGCGACTATTTATTCGTCGACTCAACTTCCAAACGAGAATATAGACAAGGAAATCGCGCACGTAACTTCCTCAACGAGATCCCCAGTGGAATCGAGCAATTCCCTCGATGATCATCGGTTGGCATTTTCGCGTTCTTTCCATGTAATTCAACGACCCGACAAATCCATGCCGAATAAGTTTCAAACCAGCTTCGTCTTCAGCGCGAATCTATTCTTAAAGGATCATGATCGAACGCGGAATCAAGCTCGGCAAATCACCGACAATTGCACGATATGCAACGCTGATTTGAGGAACCACATGGCAGTTTCCACTGTACGGACACTTACCAAAGAGTTCGATTCTTGGAATCTACGTAACGACAAACCAACGGTACCAAGACAGTCGTTATCTTTGCCGTCGTCAGAGACTCGCGACAAAAGCAACGTGTATCCTAATCATTCATACGAGCCGCTCTCGAATTCTTCGCCCGCGAAAGTGATGACATCGGAAGATAACCGGCATTCATCTCCTCTGCGTAAGAAGTCTTTCTCCAGTTACAACAGAGATATCCATCCGTACTCCGAGACGTTACGATCGATTCAAGCTAACGCTTACGTAAAATCTACTACAGAAATTCCTGTGCACGCTTTGACGCTATCTTTAGAGCCATTAGTACCGAACGAGTTGGAATATGATCCTTATTATCCCAGACAACCGACGTCTACAGAAGCGTATTACACACCCAGCAATCGCAACAGGATTAATATGAATACTCGATTTTCCAGCTCCAACCAAGCACCGCTAATAGTCGCGCACCCTAATCTTCCTTTTGAGATTCCATCTATGCTGCCTGATTTGAATACTTTGGAAGATTTGGTCGATCGCCGGAAGTTTTTCTATATCCCGCGCACAAATGTGAAATCGATATGACGCGCCATTAACATTTAACTGTCAGACTTGCAACGTTGTACGTGAAAGAATTTTTAACTATTTTGCAAAATGAGTTATGCATAGAATGTTCATTATTTATATATTGACACGTATTATTTGTGATTTATCTAAAAAAATATATAATCTTAATATATAATCTAAATATTTTAATAAACGTCGAATATCGTGGAATTTGTTTTCTCCGAAAGAGCCTGCGCTTCTGAAGCAGATGATACATGAGTCGTTGCAATGCTGAAAAAATATAGTAACGTTGATTTTTTTTAAATTTATATGTAAGAAACTTAATAGTGTGATTATATTCATTGACGTCGTATCTAAAATACTTTTCTCCCGGGTTCCAATGTTCTTTAAACGGTGCTAATAGTTTCGCAGCGATTTGTTGAATGTTTATTGAACTTTGAAACAATTCGGTTAATGTGGCTATTATTCCGTGTGGATTGTGATATTTTGTTTGTAAGTGCTTAATCGTTGTCGTAAATTGTTGTCCTGAAACTATCCATAATATGCACTTTCTATAATATGTTAAATTAAAAATACAAAAAATCAATTATACATCTTGAATGTAAGTCCTCACCAGAATATGTTTCTCCAATCGGTAGAAATGGCTGTAAATTGTTTATGTCTTCTGATAAACAGCGACATTTTTCTGAAAGGTGTCTAATATACTCGTTTTCTTGTTTGAAAAATTGAATATTTTTATGCAGCTCCTCAATTTGCATTTGTAACCGCAATTGCACAACTTCCTCTATCCAATGTTTGACATTCATATCTTTTTCCAACTTTTGCACCTTCGTTTTCTTGACCTTTACTGTGTCACCATGTACTTTTATTTTTCTTGAATCTAAATGCAGACCTAACTCTCCAAGTTTACTGAAAAATACATGAAATATATGTTATTTTATAATCGCGATCATTTCTTTTAGAAGAGATATTTTGAAATAAAAACTAATATGTAATATGATATTTAATTTGTGTGATGAGTTTTGCAGGAATGAAAAAATTTATATATTATTTATTTATATTTTATATTGAACGAAAGGAATAAAAATTATATGTTTGTATAATATTATAAATTTGTACGTTTTAATAAATTCATCTTTTAATATAGGCATTGGATTGATAGACACTTTGCTTTCAGTTGCTTCTTTCATAAGTAATCCACACGCGCACGGACAAAGCTGAAATAATTCAGTTAATTATTCAGGCTCATAATTTTATAATTTTTTACTACTCAATTTTACAAATTTTTAATTATACATTACATTATACATTATATATTACATTAACATGATGAAAAAACTTATTAAAATATTTAATATTTTATTTATTATATTACGATACATAGTACGTTCAAAGAATTGCTATTATGTAAGTTGTCTTTATTACATATATCACATTCTATTCTTTTTCGAATAATATTTTTAATAGGATATATTTTTTCTCACTGAGAGAGAGAGAGAGAGAGAGAGAGAGAGAGAGAGAGAGAGAGAGAGAGAGAGAGAGCAAAGAGTTATTCTCGTGCAATTTTTTTTAATATAAGCAATAAATTTAATTTACCATTTCCTGAGTAAGCGTCGCTGCTTCTTGGGTGGAGCAAATTGTAGATGATATATTGACGATGCAATGATGTGATGATTCACTGGTCTTATATTCATGATTGCTAGCTATTTTACATGAACAACAGTCATTGCTTATATAAATAGCATTATCTATTATCTCTTGACAGTTGATTGTAAAATATAGAAGCAACAGGAATTCCTTTCAGGAATAAAATCTGTTTTTTTTTTTACTCACTAATGTATCTCGACACTTGACTTGTACTATCACACCTTCGTTGAGACTCATCTTGATGTGTTTGACACGCGATACTATCGGGAGATTTTTGTCGTATAAACGACAGCTTTTGTAATCCGCTCTCACTCGTATCAATGGACTGGATTTTTGAAAAGATTTTTTCTTGTCCTTTCGTGTCAATACGACCATTTTCTTTGGAAAGAATATAATCAAGTATACTTCCAGGAACAGAAAAATCATCGCTACTTTTATCCTTTTCGATAGATAAAGGAATTTTAGTGGACTTTTTCAATAATGTATTCTCAAACTGTTTCGGTGAGATACTGTATTCATCACTTTTTCCTCTATCGAATTGCTTTGGTTTCTCTGAAGAATCCTTCAGATCAAGTGCGACGCCACAGAGTGCACAAACTGAGGAGGATGTGGTCGTGATTAATCCAGATTCAGGATTATGCGGCTAACAGAAGTTACTCACAATTAGTGCTATTTTATTTTCAATTCTTCCTAATTATTTTTTATCGCAAATGTAATAATGATAAATCCACAAATTTTATTACTTGAGTACTCTTCTCGTATCGTTCTGAATCAGGATAGCGTATCCGAGGATCTGCGCCTCTTCTCCGTCGCTCTTCTATCGTAATTAATTGTATCAATTTTAACGCAGCTTCTTTAATCGCTTGCAATAAATCGTGGAGTATCAAGATCTGTTAGCAATTTGTTATTTCCTCTCAATGTAGACTCAAGTAAATTAATTATGGTCATTCACGCACGCATATGTACGTTAAATAAATTGCAATGATTTTTAATGATAAGATCAGTACTTATTTCGCAATGTTTATTAATACTTCTATCATTTCTTTAAATAAAATTCTAAATGTTTTGCACACGTCTGTTATTTACAATGACTCAAATTTTCTTAATTTATTATTTACGATATCAAATAGATAAAATAAATTATAAAATTTTACTGTGACAGAAAAGGTGTGCGTTTATCAGATTCGATTTCTAAATTCGACCTACTTGCTGTTGGTGATGATCGCTATCAAGCACAGGCGAACGATAAGGCCCTCTTAACTCCCTGCAGAAGCGATATGCAGGACAAAGGGGCATTTTAGATTGTGAATGTGTTGACGAAGGGGTGTCGGGATTTATCAGCATGATGGATTTATCACCTTGCTTTGATAAAATCGCGATGGGAAGAGGAGAAAGTTTTGCGACATCTTTCGCGTCGCTTGCTGTTTCCATTGTGTTTAATTTAAACAAAATAAATTCAGTCTAATTTGAAGTAATAACGGCGTAATGACAACACGGATGATTCCGACGACTTCCAATAATGTTGAGTCATTTTTATTTTATATCGCCATGTCACTTGTCATTTCATATCATTTTATACCTTTTTTGGTTATTTCGGTACTAACATGACTCGAAACTTGAAGATTAAAGGTTGATGTTAATGGAAGATACTTCATGATGTAGCCTAAAGCGTTTATTCACGTTTATTTAGTAACCTAATTTCAGCTTGTCAAAATTTTTTGTGAACAATGGCTGATTTCTCCAGAACCTCAGCCGCTGTGGCAAATACTAATATAGATAGAACTGCAAGTGAAGTTAATACTAGTAAAAGGAATTATTGGAGGCAAATGCTGAAAAGCTACGAGAAGAGGAACGCTTCGTTGGAGAGAAAGCGTAACGTACTCGTTGAAAGAGTCCGTTTTATAGAATGTACATTGCCATCTTTGCTGATGGGCGTCGCTGCATCTACCACCTATGGTAAACGAGAAGTCCCCGATAAACAGGCGAAAATCTCAGAGAACACATCTAAGTCCTCTAATTAAAGGACATAGCTGCAAATCGTAACAAGTAAAATCTGCCAAAAACAGATTTTGTAAAATATTCTGCTCTAATCTTTTAGATATATGATAAAATATGATTAATTGACTACATAAACGATCTTTTGTTTTGTAATTATTTGAAATTAAATTATTAGTATTATTCAAATAAAATGATATTTTATTTGAATAAATAAAAATAAGATTTGATTTAACTTATTCGTTCTAGAAATTAGCAATTTAATAATAAGAAAGAGAGACGGAGAACAGATGGGCACTTTTATTCATTTCTTGTAGATACACACGTTACGAATAAAATCAATTCTATATATGAAATGAATCTGTAAGCAAACAGCGCCATAGTGGTCAAACAGGCTTGATGGAATAATTTTTGCTCCGAAAATCTATACAGCATAAATGAGTAAGTGTTTGTATATACACACTTCTTGCGAAAAATCTAACTAAATCTATGAAATCACTCAAGATCGATATACATGATGCTAAGGCACGTTCGTTGTGTTATACGATTGAACGAAAAGTAGGACTAGAAACACATTGTTTACACACTAATACGCATATCAATGAACATTAAATGTTGAAGCATACGCACATACATGTATATATTTTTCCAATATAAAGACACACGCAAGCCTAGCTTAGTTTCGATAAAATTCATGAAATGATATTCTACAATGAAGGTAGCAATTATCTCAATTTAATTCAGTATATAATTCTATTATATACTTTATCGCGTAAAATTGGCGTGCAAAAGTTTAAAATGAAAAACTAAAAGAAAAAGATATCGGAGTGAAGTGAATCATTGAGGAATTTATATATTCCTTATAATACATGTATATTACTTTCCTACAATTACTGTTTCTAACGAAGTTGCTCCTCACACAGTGTATAATGATGGAAATTATAATAGAATCTCCAATAGTCGTTGATATAGACATTATAGAATCTCAACGGCACTACACAGACATGCCTTTGTGGCTCATTGAATGCATGATATCACGAATCGCGCGATAATTTGCGACACACATGTGATGCGTGACATCAAATTAGCTTACGCATGCACAGTTGCATTTTTGTCATATCAAATTTAAATTTATGTCGAAACGTAGATTTAAATTTCGATAAAGACATACTAAGGATTCGAAGATACATTTGATATGTCGCTTAGTACAAATACATGTCTGTTTAATGCAGTTATCTTCATTCTGATTTTTTCTGGGCGTCATTCTTTATCTCTTAAAAATGCATCAATTACGAATATTCCGAATCATACGTGAAATTATTTTGTAATAATTATTGCACGCAATAATTATTACAAAACATCGTTATAATTATTTTATAATAACGCTTTATATATTTTACGCTCGCGTGTGAGGGAGATATATATATATATATAATCTACGGCTTATTTGGCACTTGATTTCACAGCTTGTACGAAAAGATTGGTCGTGACATGGGGAAGGTGAAGTACGCCAAACCGAGGGTTCAGGTTGGCACTCGATCCGCAGGCGCCCTCGTTTTATTTCTAGGACGTACCATTTCTGATCGTCACTTGGGCACACCAAGCAGCGCCAGCCGTATTGTCCTGTAACAAATTGTAAAAATATTTATATAAAAGAACTGTATATATTTATGATTAAAAATCAATGAAGACCGACCGAAGTCAGATCAGTTATAGGTAAACTGACTCAAAGTTAACCGATCGCTAATGTGTCTGTATGTTATGTTTATTTTGCACATCCTTCTTTTATTTGTGAATAAGTAGTATCAGGTATGCAGACATAAATCGATATCCAATTTGTAGAATGAATTGAATCTAAGTTTCGAAGTGCTTAGGAAGCTGATTGTGATTCACTACTTATTAAAATCATGATATAAGCGTTTAGAAAAATTATCTTACCTCGTTTATGCCGCGGGTTTTACCCACGGGTTCATTGACTCTTCCGTGGAACTCGTGGGTTGATGGACAGAGTCTGCGACGACGAGAGACGATGGAGAACCTCTTCTCGCATTTATCTCCAGCGAAAATAGATCACCTGCGTAAAGAACAACGGTGAAGCATGAGCTTACATCATGTTCCCCCCGTACAGCATAGAAATTTTCAATTATATTACAGCAACATTGTAATCTTGTGAATTACGGTAAAATGTTACAGACATTATAGAGAGACATGCAATTTCAACAATTTGTAGTAATACTAATGATAAAAATATTGTAAAAAATATTGCATGATATATGTGTTGCAATCTTGCAGTGATTTC